GCTTGAAGTAAGCCACCTTTCTCATGCCCCTCACAAATAGAAAGTTTGAACATGAGGTGGGTGGGGCTTCTCATTGACATGCAGATTCAGGACCAGGAAAAACTGTACAGACAACACTCTGAAGCCTGAGGATATTTGTTTATACTACGACCGTGTTTAGTGTGAGCATCAACAACTGAAACGGGCAATGGATGACCAAAAATAAGGGAAAGGATCATGGATAATCACCATTTTCTACTCTTTGCTGATTTCCCCTTATTTAGTTTCATGCCGTTTAAGAAGTTGTTTTCAAACTCTTATTCAGATGGGATGGCAGCTTTAGGATCTGAAAGATTTAAGATGTGAAATTTGGCAATCTGTTATGGATTTATGTGTAAAAAATATGCAGCTTCTAAACTTAAAATCCCCTGATGTTTGTTTTCTTACTTTTTTGTTTGTTTACAGATGGCCAAGAGAAGCAGCTGGAGTTCGATTTTAACGCCTCCATGTCTGTTCTGACAGTCCGTAAGCCCGGCATGAACGCAGGGGCCGACTGGACCGTGACATTTCAGTAATCGTGAAAGATGAAAGAAGAGGAAGCAGGAGGGGGGAAAACGGCTTATTTGAACCGAAAGTGAGCAGAGGGAGAGAGAGGGAAACGGAAATAAGGCACTAATACCCATAACTAACTAAAACAGAGTAAGATAGGCAACATGGTGGGGAAAAAAGGATACACAAGACACTGATTACACGCACACAGAGATTCATGTATACCTGTTAGTCGATCTGAGCCACTTTACTTTTCTGCCATTTTCCTCTTGTGTTCACACTTTAATACGTAACAGAGAGAGTTCAGGGTTATTGCTAGATGAACAATTATGTTTTGTCACATTGCTCGACCTTTTTAATTCATGTCATTGTTAGGAATCTTTGGGGTAAGACAGAAACTTGTTTTTGTTTTGTTTTTTTTGTCCACTTCATTTTCCATCCAGTTTGCCTCAGAAAACCCCAAACCAATCCACTGTTTTCCATTTAAAATGAAGGTTCACATTCAAAGCCTCCATCTGCTGCTGATCCTCTCGATGCTCATCGAAAACTCATTTCATTCCTCTTTTAAGAAAAGCACTTAAATTGACTTAGATTCAGGCTGTCTTTGTTTGTTCCCTGTATTCCAGAACTTGTGCACATGGTTGATCAACCGGCACCGATCTGGTTACTTACCTGCTGCTCAGTGAGGGGATTTGCAGCTGTTGTTTAGAACAAAGTTGGCAATGGGAATCACTTCAGGGGACTGAACCACTGACAATTTGTGGCTCATTCTGTTGATGTGCTTTCATTGTTTGAATTTTTTTGTTTTCCTGCATTGTTCAAGAGATTTTCCTTAAATGCACTTAAAGAAGAATGAGAACTGATTGAAATGATTCTGTGGAGGTGAGTTATGCTCCACCTAGTCAAATGATCTGACCTTTTTTGTAGTTTTGTTCTGGGAGGGTTGTTTTTGTTTTTTTTGCTTGATTGCTTTTATGATCACAACCATACGCTTAGTTGCATTTTCGTTGGTGATGAACTGGTGGAAATGGAAGTGAAGGATCGGACTTCAGCTCTCAAAGTTGTCAGATGTACTTTAAAAAGATGAGACCAAGTGAAAATAAAATTGATCAAATGTAAACCTATTGCCTTCTACGAGTCAGTAATTCATAAATGTTTC